TTGAATGTTTCCTCCTCCAAACCACACCCATGGCCGTTTCACACTGAAAATAAAGATACCTCGAGATAGCCAAGATTTATTACCCCCTTTATACCCCAGTGTGTCACTGTTTTTCTTCTTTTTTTTCTTTTTCTTTATTTTTTTCCCTTTTTTCTTTTTTTCATTTTCTTCTTTTTTTTTACCCCCATCCTTCCTGACTCTTCCTTGGTAATGAAAGGAAAAGGACAGGTAAAAAAATAGAGGGGGGAAAAAAAAAGGCTAACGATCAAGCTAAGCGACACTAAAGCCAACTAAACCAAAGAAAAGATACTACTCCGGAGAAAAACTCAAAAAGAAGGCCTGTCGGCAGAAGATTCCTGAGAAAGATAAATTCTGCAGTAAGCTCCAATTTACTTAATCTCCACCTTCCTCACGATCTGATTTGAGTAGAAGCCGGTGTCGTTTCAGCCCATGGTTAGAAGTAACTGGGGTCAGCCGAGAGACTTTCGGAGTCGCTTCCTGACTCTTTGAACGAAGGAAGACCCTGGAGAATGGAGTCCGTCCCGGCCGATTACTTAGTACTAGGCGTGTCTAGGATAAAGTACTTGACGCATTGAGCGCGTGGCATTGGGAAATTAATTCATCGTGTCGATCGATGTTCCTTTTAGGATCTGTGATATCGCAAAGAATTCTTCTTCTGGAGATGTAGATTTCTAAGAAAAAAAATCCCACTAGAGAAAAATAAATTGAGGGACACTAAAGCAAGAGAATGGGAAATGAAAATGAAAATGAAAATGAAATGAAATATACGCAAAAAGAGAAATTTCATCATCATCACCATCAACCTAACTTCTTCAACCACGACGACGGTTTGATGCTTAAATTTTATTATGTTCATTTCTGTTCCTTTTTTAATTTTTCTTTATTTTTTAAAATTACCACTGGCCATCATCGCTATAATGTCATTCCATACGGTCATTCTTCTCCGGTAACCTATTTTTGCTTTTGCTTCACTCTCTCTCTCTTCCTTCTCTTCTTCCCTTCCTTTCCTTAATTTCATCCATCCTCACCGTCAGGTATTCCATCTTGCTCCTTGTTTCTAGAAGAAGCATACTCCCACGCTAGGCCCCCCACTCCTTTTTCAACCGATCATATCCCATCATTGGCTCTCACACAGCCCTTCACGGCGACCTCGGTATTTAGCAACCTGCTCGGTGGAGAAATTTCGAACGAACAAAGTAATGGTTTGACAACCTCCATCTATCCGCAAACAGCGCATTTCATGTCAACACAACCAGCAACTTGAACCTTAATTCCTCCCCGATTGAACGACAACTACCTAAACTTACCGTACCTACCCGTTAGGCTATGTATTAGAGGTATCCATCTGTTCTGCGTTATATTCTCCTCTACTATATTACGTTACTGGGACTATACCGGGCTGCCTCAGGCTCAACAACCATCCCGACTTTAAAGTGATACACCATCCCAATTGGCAACTCAGTTGCCACCACTCGGGATTTCTCCCTTATCCATTGGTTTCGATCCGTCAGGATCTTGATTATTGTTCTCCATTCTTCATTTCAATCATTGGTAACCTGACACTCTGGACTAGTGTCATTACCATATATACAAAGAAGCCTTGAGCTTCCCATTACCATCCGGCTTGGGTGGATTCGGGGGTTGCTCCCTTTTTTTCTTATCTTGTTCCTCTTCTTTGTTTTCTTGTTTCTTGTCTCCGCTCTATCGAGAAACTTTGAACACAGGGGGATAAGAGAATAAAAAGAAAAACAAAAGAGTTGAAGGTTGCCATAAAGGCAAAAAAAAAAAAAAAAAAGTTAAGGTTGCACGTGTCGGGATTTGTTGGGTTGTCACTCCTTTCCACTCAAATTTCATTTCGCCCTTCGCCATAAATCATTGATTTTGTTATATCTTGTTCTCCCTCTATGAGTTGGCGTTCGGTGGCTCGAGATGCAGACGCAGTATTTCCGTTCGCCGAATAGTCAAGGCCAACCGGGCGTTTCCTATGAGTTGCCGCCGGTGCAATCGGTAACTTCGCCCTCAGGTCCTTTTCCACAGGCTGGCCCTCCACCTACTCTTCTTTCCGCTCCGCCAAGTAGACCCGCGAGCGGATTGAGAATGGCTCATCTTTTGCAACCACTACCGCACCAGATGTCAAACCCTCCCCCGCCTCCCCCTCCTTCATCATACTCACGATCCTATGAATCAAGCGGCTCGCCGGCCGAAGGCGCCTCTATTCTTCCGGATGCGCCACCGCTCAATGGTTCGGCCCCAGGGTCGTCGGGGCTTCTTCCTCAGCCCGGTGGTACCGGGCAGCAGCAGCAAATGCAGCAGCCGCTGCAACAAAAGAGAGCCTATCGTCAGAGAAGGAAAGATCCCAGTTGTGATGCGTGTCGTGAGCGCAAAGTCAAGGTACCGAGTTTTCGCCGACGCCCCTGTCATTTTAGCTTAAGATCATCCAACGCGGTTTTGTTAACTTTCCTTGGCTCAGTGTGACGCTTCGGAGTCGTCTAGTTGTACAGAATGTACGAATCGCAAAGTGCGATGCCAGTTCACGAAGGAAACTAACAGGCGCATGTCGTCGATCAAGTTTGTACCACGGCTACTTATTATGAAAAGTTTTGTCATTCTAATTGGGTCATAGGCAAGTACAGGACTTGGAAAAGCAGCTTCTTTCAACCAAGCAGCAATTACAACAACTGCGATCAGGCATGCTGAGGCCGGACAACCTGATCGATCTCGATGTTGATGGAGCCGGACAGTCTCAATTGAAGCTCCCTGATATCGGGTATCGACCGCCGCGCCAGCCAAGAGCTGCGGTATCACAGGACTTAACCGAAGCTCGAGCCAATCTGCGAAAGTACGGAAGAGGAATTCTGAAAGTGCCAACTCCGTATCGCCAGCCGGGTCCGAAATCGCTTCTGGCGTCCGATCCTCCACCTCTCCCCGCCAAGGAGGTTGCAGACCGTCTCCTCACGCAATATTACGAATGTATTCATTCGGCCTTGCCAGTACTTCATTGGCCTAGCTTCGTGGCGGAGTATGAAAAAGTTTACCAAACCGGTTCCCTTCTGGGCCTCCCTCGAGAGTGGGCGGCCGTTCTGTTTGGTATATTCGCTTGTGGTTCACTTCACACACTGGAAAAGACTAGGGAACACGACGGGAAAGAGTTCATAAGGATCTCCTGCGGGGTCATCGATGTCTGGAAGGACAATTTCACCTTGGATCAAGCCCGAGCCGCACTTTTGGTTAGTCTTTTTCTCTACGAAGTCAACGCGAAGTCGGCCAGTTGGGTATGGGTCGGATCTGCAGTAAGGGTAGCGCAGGAGATAGGGCTGCATATTGAGTCAGGGCCGTGGTCAACCCTCGAAGGGGAGATGCGCAAGCGAGTGTGGTGGGGGGTCTATGCCTGGGACAGGTATGTGAATGACCAAATATCCCATAATACAAGGTTCCGTTTTAGTTGATGATTATCTCCTTAGGCTTCTCGCCCTAGAAATGGGAAAACCGGTCCTCATCAACGATCAAGATTGCGATGTTGACCTTCCTTGTCCAATCGACGAACGGTGTATTTCAGAAGGTGGCATTGTGGCGGAAGGCCAACAGACCACTCCACTCCTGGCCACTATACATGTCGTTCGGTCGATAGGTCAGTTGGTCCGGACGTTGAGAAGCTCCACGATCAGCCCGGCAACCTTGGAAATATTCGAGCGACACTTTCAAACTTGCCAGGCGACATTTCCTCCACAGTACCATCCGAAGTCCGACCTGTATCTCGATCCCCGCTCTATCCTCCCACTAATTTACCTGCAGAATGCCCGTCTCATCCTCTATCGTCATAATATTTCCCCTTTCTGTGCCCCCGAAGTCCGATCGTTGGCACTTGATTACTGTGTTTCAATCTCTCAAGACACTGCTCACCTTCTTTCACGCTGCATGCGGGCTCCTTCGGGTCCTCATGGTTACTCTTCACCTCCTGGAAATGATGATTGGCGGCCCTTGTTGGCATCCTCAGCAGGAACTGTGCTCTGCACCCACATCTGGCGTTGTGTGCTAGTGTTGCTGTTCCGTCAGGAATATGATGCCGCACTGATGTGTGTCCGGGCAAGTGCTGTGGTTGGAGACTCCCGAGCGGTTAATGCAGCCTGTGGGCGGTACATCGCATTTTTCTTGAAGTGCCTTGTGGACCGGCTACGCCGCCCCGATGGTATCGATCCCGAGCGGGACGAAGAAATGTTGGCGTACGTGTCGGGCGACATGCAGGGCACAACCGGTGGCAGCTGGGTGTGGCAAGGCAGTGAGACTGGGTCTCAGCTGGAGACCTTGACTGACTTCGGTAGTCCTGTCCCAATGCCACACCCCGGTGCCCGAGACAATCTGTCTACAGGAGAAGTAGAAGATTGGGAGGGGTGGGATTGGGTTGAACAGACAGTTCAATATCTAATCAGCGAGAAGCAAAAGCAACAGCAGGAATACAGTAGAATGGATGTGCAGACTAGTCCTGGGAGTGATGAGCCAGCACCTCGGCCACAGCCGGCCTCATCCCACTCACGCATGACAATCGCAAGCATCATCTAATATCACTGGGTCTGTTGCTCATGATTTGAAACTTTGCGACTCCCCCGCATACTCTTGTCTCCATGTGGAGACCCACTCTCGCGGCGTCAGCTTGTGGAACGACCATGAAACATTGTCGGTTCAATATAAAACGTGTCCTGAGAACCGGCTTAGAGCAGTCAATATTCTGCAAATTAACATCTTACGAGAGAAACCAGGGACGCACACGCCCAGGGCAACGAAGACTTCCTTCGTCGGGAAGGAGGTGGACTGTATTATCTATTTGTATTATTTTTCTAGATGATGGTCTGGGGTCCAGTGGAGCATGTGAAACGAGATATGTCTTACGACCGAATCTTTGATATCCATACGATACGTTTGATTACATCGAGCATACCATGAAGATGCATTTCTGTGTTGTAGAAGTTACCTTGTCTTATTAGACAATAGACCATGTTTCATATACAGTGAAATCATGAATTTGTTTTGACCTCCATGCAATTAATGATAGAACCTCACAATCCAACCTCATACCGCATGATTCACAGGTCCTCAAGACCTTTTAATATTACGATAATGGTTTAGACTTCCAGGTTAATACTCCGTCCAAACCGCGCATATAGCGCCACCTTCAATTGCTGCAACTCGTCGCGCAGATCGCTTAACTTCTCCTCCAGGCCCGACACCTCGGAGTCGATCTGCTCCGTCGATGAAGAGAGGAGAGATTGCGCATCGGCAAGGGGAAGTTGGAAGAACGAGTCCCCAATTTTGTACCTGTTGGGGTCAGGGCGTCAAACACTTTGAAGCAGGAAAACAGAGTTGAAGGCATGAACACTCACGGCACCAGCTCATCCTCATCGGCCAGTTCTAGCTCCGTAGAGACCTCCTCGAGATCCTCTTTATCTTTCTGTTATATCAAAGGTCAGTATGCGGACCACAAACACCACGTCAATAACATAATATCATTTCCGGAAGCCAGCGACACAAGGTGAATCCCTCACAAAGATATGCCAAAAAAATATAAATAAACAAATAAACGCAAAAAAAATACGAGGGATAGACGAAAACCGACCTGTTTAGCCTTTAACTGCTCCTCCAGCAGCGTCTCGCGTTGATGAAGCCGACTGAAGCGGTTGATCTTCTCCTGGTCTTCGCGACGGACTTCATTCTCTTCTCCTGCTGCGGAGACTTCCTCCTCTTTCGAGAGCTGTAGGGTGTTTGGTTAGCTCGGCTGTTTCGGCCCGAGGAGATTGGGAGGACGTACCATACGATGTTGCATCATTTTTGCGATTAGGCTGTGGGTGTTTATATCTTATAGTATTGGGGAGGAGGGGAGGGTTTTGCTTCTTGATAGATCCTAAGTTTGATGTGGTTTCGGTGGGTGGTCTGTGCACGGTTGTTCTTGGCGGGGGATGTTGTCCATGGGCTTGATACTTTAAGCTTATTCTCTTCAATCTACTTGTGTTGTATACGTTATGCATCTATATATATATATATACCATATATATCTATACCTTCTTTGCTCTTATATCTCGGAGAAGAAATTTATTGTGACGAACTATCCGGCACTTTGCATCCCTCCTTATCGGAAGAACGTGTTACGTGCCCCATAATCGAGACATACTTCTAGAGACTGCTGGAGCCCCAGCAGACATCCGGAAATAGTTCCCAAAAAAATATTTCATAAGTGTGAGCCTTGCCAATATTCACCTCGGAGGATGGGTGACAATAATCATTCATACTCGGGAGTGGCTTCGAGATTCTGAGACGTGATATGTTCTGTGGAGTATAGATCGTCAAAACACCCGGCTCGCAGCACACAGTGTTACTATTAGGTAAGATGGAGGGCGCTGACGAAGACAAGCGCGAGGGCCTTCATCCCAGCTGGCTGGCTAGGGTGATCGGCTCGGGTGTCGGGGACTTAATTGGTCTTACGTAGATGGTTGGGGACAAGGGGCAGTGGAACAAATCGACAAAAGTGGATTCGAAGAGACGCAAGCTAGGTCGAAAGGCTCGGGAACTTCACAGTTAACGGGTCTATAGACTTTCAAGCTCAGTAGGCGGCCGCTTAGCTAGGTTAACTATGGATTATACGAGGTGGCTCAACTGTGCTTTAGGTTCAATATACGTAATTTTTCTTTGTATTATTAGCTGTGCAAACTCAGGGTCGACTGAGCTGCGTACGTGTACACACGACTGTTGAATGCCCTATTAGATCTCTCACATGGCATATTCGGTACTCTATCTCCCAGACCGCATTTTAATCTGCTCCCTGGATGCGATACGTCATCTGAAAGGCATTGTATTGAGGCAATAATTGAGACATACAGGCAGATCCCGTCCAAACATGAACATATAAGATCTAGTCTTATAGTAGTTGGTCAAAGATACCAATAGTATAAAATCCACATCTTTTTCTTTCTTGCTTTCTTTCTTCTTCCTCATTTCCATTGCTTTCATCTGCTTTTCACGCTGCTTTGGTCCCAGGCATTAGCCCAGCCCATCTATCTCCAACCCACCATTCAATATGAAGCTTACCCTGGTCGCTGCGATTACCCTTGTTGCTATCACAAGTGCACAAGACTTCAGCTGTGCCTTGCCTTGCCTCCAGAAGGGTATGAAGCAAGCGGCACCCGAGTGCTCCAGTGGCGATTTCAAGTGCGCTTGCCCCCACTCGCAGGAGATTTTTAATGCTATCAAGCCCTGCATAGCATCATCATGTGGTCCCATCCCCGATGGTAAGTATTGCCTGTTCCCTGTATATAGGAGAGCTACAGCTGATTATATCCCAGGTGAATTCCAGAAGGTGATTTCGCAGTATTGCCCGTAGCTCAGTTGTTGAGAAAACGACCATTGAGCACGACTACGATCTAGCGCCTTTGCACGGTTCCACAATTGCTACTAGGTTACATGGTTGCTATGGGTACTGGACTATGACACGGATTCGAAATATTTTTGTAGGATGAAAACACTTGTCACTTGGGATAGTATTTACGGGTTCATGGAGTTGCATCCTGATTCTTTTTTTGGTTATTGTTGTTGTTGTTGTTGTTCTGCCGTATCTGTTCATATTCGTTACTTTGATATTACGACTCGGCACCTCAGGGTTTTCGTCTGGCGTGTATTCGTCTTTGGACGATAGCAATCATGTCGATAGCTGCTGGAAGATGCCTGATGTTGAAGATGAGAAACCACCCGTGAATATTTATATGTAACTCTCTATGGCTGGCCACAGTACTAATGTACTTGTAATTGACTACATAATGACCTCTCAATGTGAGAAGAGAGTAAGAGAAATTATATTTCTTCGGGCATACCATGACAGAACTTACGTTCTTTCTGAAAGCCTAGAGTCAAGTTAACTACTGTACAATAGTCCTTGGTGTTCTGGAAGAACGCTAATTTTGTGCCTAGCTTGTTAGTATTAAAAAGGAAAGCCAACTTTAACAAGTTGGCCGGATGGTGTAGTTGGTTATCACGTATCGTTAACACCGATAAGGTCCTGGGATCGAGCCCCAGTCTGGTCATTCGTTTTTGCACCTTCCTCTTTCCTTTCTTTTTTTTTTTTTACTTCATTTCTTCATCGCATTTTGCTCAACTTTCTATTACATCTGTCTATATATGTATCTAGAATATCTCTACCCTTCACGATCACGGTCCTCCGGTACAAGGACCAGACGCGCTAATAGTGTATGCTGTAATATTGTCAGATGCTCTTGGCCATACTCTAAACCCCCCACGGCTGGCCAAGAGCCCCGATGCTTTTTAGGCAAGTGGCTAGATACTTGGAGGTCCATTAGAGAGTTTAAGAGAATCTAACGGCAACAAAATGTAGTTTGACTACTAGTATGTACATGGATGTAGAATGGATTGATTGGCTCCCTCGGTCGGGTGACATCATCATCGGCCATGTCATGTGCCCTCCGCTCTCTAAAGAAGTAAGTAGTAGCAACACAACGCATTTATCGGACACATGATTAGAATCTCTCTGTCCTGTACGTTTCCAGTTTTGAACCGAGACCTGCAAAATATCGCTGGACTACTGTGGTGACCGTCTCTGTATCATTGATATACAGCCGCAGTGGTTGACGCTGGTCTCGGAGAAAAGAAAGATAATCCCGAACGGCCAAAACCAAAGCTATCGTCACCTAACATAACATACCGGCCGTCGATATCCCAGCCTTCCATCATTCACAATCTTCACCATCATACATCACTACCCCGACAAATCTAGGGGCTCTGGTACCTCAAGAGCTATCTCTAGATTGTATCTAGTTGAGCTCCGTCGTCTCTATCACCGCAGCAACACTACTATCACCAACCCGGAACGAGTCAGTACACCGACGACACCAGCGCCCTTCGTCTATCCTCTCTCCCTCACATCTACACCATGCGAATACCAGCAGGCCTCTCTTCAATTATTCTCTCCGCCACCCTACTACCGAGTCTAAGCGCCGCAAGCGGCTTCGACTGCGCCCACATCAATGTCGACGGGTTCAAGTACGACCTAAGTCAGCTAGGCGGCGTCCATTCGCTCTACAATGTTGAGAAAACAGAGGAGCACGTCGTGAACACTACATATGTACTCAATATATGTAACATTCTGAAGGGAGCTTCGATCAAGGGCCACCTGAAGTGTGGGACATCGAAGAACAGTATGTTTTTTCATTCCCTTGCTATCCGATCTTCATCCCAAGACCTAACGACCCGGATATTGGTCATCTTACCAATTACTCAACCTATTCAAACCAACAGCGTATAATACTAACTATTCTATATCCAAGTTTGCGGATTCCAATACAAATACCCGGTCGACGGCTCCGAAGAAACAAGCCGTGCCTTCCCCATCGTCGGACTCGAGCATCTTGGTCACGGAAGCAAAGACCCCGAGATCACCCGGTTGAAGAAGCTCGACCCGGGCGAGGAGGGTCTACTGGTCAAACTCTCTGGAGGTAACTACGTCGATGATGAGGGGAAGAAGAAAGACGCGGGCGCGGTGCTCGAGTTTCAATGTGACCCCGAACGGTCGGGATTAGAAGGTCTGAAGACGACCGATGAGACCGACAACGAGAAGAAAGAGGCCGAGCGGAGACGCGCAGAAGGAGGAGACGATAAAGAACAGCCGCCGGTCGAGGAAAAAGACCGGTCGCTCCAGTTCAAGAGTTTTGGAAAGGCCGATGACGACTCATATGTGCTCAAGCTGAACTGGAGGACCAAGTACGCCTGTGATCATTACCTGGAAGAAAAGAAAGGTGACTCATCCAGTCACTGGGGTTTCTTTACTTGGTTGATTATCATGTATGTTCCCTTTCTTATCCCTGATCTATATGGGTGCTAATTATGTGTTTCAGCCTCTTCCTCTGCATCGCTGCCTACCTTATCTTTGGCTCCTGGCTTAACTATAACCGCTACGGCGCCCGAGGATGGGATCTTCTCCCTCACGGCGACACTATTAGGGATATTCCCTATATCTTCCAGGACTGGCTCCGTCGGGTGGTCAACACGCTCCAAGGATCGGGGTCCAGGGGCGGTTACAGTGCGGTATAATGCCGTGAGATATAGCGTGGTGCAGGCGTTTCTCTTTCGCTCATTTACGTTGGACTTGGCATTGCTTTTTGTTTCTACAGCACGGTGGGGCCGTGTGGGCGATATTATCTCAGAAAATCTAGATAAGAGGTAGCTGCAGACTGGGTTGGATTGGGCACGTGCATGATAGGTACTGTACGATGAATGATATGCATCGGTCTTTCTGGCTTCTCGCTTTATATATTACTATACATTTCGAATATTAGACATTAAGTGAAGAGCGCGAAGTAAGAGAAGTGGAATCTAATTTCTAAATCTATGGGGTATGTTGTAGTGTTACCGAGGCTCTATGGAGGCATATGATATACTCCGTATACTCTACGGAGTAACTCAAATCTACTCGGGCTTCTACGTAGGGTCAAAATAACAAAACAACTCCGTAACAGGGATGGGACTAAGTCTCCCAATACAACACGATACAACAGTAATAAAATAAGAAAACACCAGGATCCGACGCAAGGAGAGTTCAAAAAGAAAAGGACAACACGAATGAACGCGGATAATCAAATGGCGTCATCAGAGCTAAGATCTCATCATGATCACCACCGGCATTGAAGAGACAAGCAAACAACCCAGAAAACCTAATAATAAAAAGTGGATTCCTCCTGTCCGTTCTCCTGCAACTTAAATTCCTCTTCATCTCTTCCTCTTGACTTACACTTTCATGGCAAATTGCTTGAGATACAGGTAATCCGCCATGTTCTCGTCCACAGATTTACGGATTAGGGCGGCGGCCTCTGGGCCGTACTTCTTGCGCCATTCGGCGTCGAATTCCTCTTCGGTTTTCACGGGCCGACCCTGGTGAATCTGGTTTAGTGATTATCCATCCCCCCCTTGGTCCAGAGGTTGCTGTTGCTGCAGACTTACATGTGTCCGGGCTGTTAGGCCCTTCGATTCGATGGCGTCGTTATGAAATCCCCTCCATTTCTCAAATGCATCGCACACCTGCTTCTGTTCAGACTCGTCGTCCCAGTCCAGCATGGACGGGTCATAGTCGATCCCCACGCTGCGGCAGAACGCCTCGATCATCGGGCCCGGCTTCTCGAGCATATCGTCTGCATCGACGACGCAGATCTCCGCCGATTCTTGTGCCTCGCCGACCCCGTTGATGACGGGCCTGAGCTTGTTGTCGATCTCGTCCGCGTCCTGCTCCTTTGTCGCGATATGTGGCCCGATCAGGTGGACGCTCCTAAGGTAGTCGAATGTCCGACGGGTCTCGTCGTACCCGGCCTCGGCTGGGTCATAATAATAGAACCCGGTGACGTCGTCCAAGGGGGGAATGGTGCAGCGGTAGTATGAAGGGACACTGAAGTGGGGATCACGGATGAGGAAGGCAAAGTGGAACTTGGAGAGCAGTTCCTTGGGCATTACGGTGGGATTACCTGGCTCTGGCTCTGTGGGGTACGGGTACTGAGACGTCTGCTTGGTGCTTTGTCCCGATTCGACATGGCCGTTGCTTTCCACACCGTTGTCAGCATGGCCGTTGGCTTCGGTGCCGACACCACGCTTCACTCTATGCAGAGATGGCGCAATGCTGGCTGGCTTCCCGCTTGGGGGAAGGAGATAGTGGATGATGTCCTTGATGAATACCCTCTTGCCCTGCGATACGGTAAGTGACTCGTCTTGAAGACCACGACGTGACAATACAAGGCAAAAACATGAGATAATCGTCGTGGTTCACTTGCGAGATGGGAATTGAGATCCGACACCTTCGGTGTGAAAAGTGAGGAGAAAGGGGAAGGGTCGAGTGTCCCATCTGGCATCCGCAGAAGCCCAGACGGAACAGCCCATGCAGACGTGCTTGGGGATCAAATAGGGTACAGTAATTATATCAACCTCATACGCATCTCGAATGCCATTGAGGTCGATTCATCATCGTCCAGCCAGGACAGGGCATTACGGCGAGAAAGAAAAGAAAGAAGAAAAGAGCAAGGGTCGGACCTCAGAAGCTTCACGCTCTATTCTATCCATCACGGTCTTGTAGGTTGACTGACTGAAGCCGCTCTCTAGGCGCGCCTTCTCGTCGTCCATAAATCTCGTACCCAGTCTCTCTGGGCCATAGTAGAAAGCATCGCCAAATGGCTCATGGATACACTGGATGGTATCCCGGCGAGTCATGAAGACCTGCGAATATTAGTGATTCCATATCCAGATAGTTTCAGACTAGGAGGAATTCAAGGGATTATCATTACTCGTTCAAATGCTGTTGAGCATGCGCGGGGGTGAGTAGCGACGAAGATGGGCTTCTGCGACATCTTTGCAATTATCTCTGTGGGTCTGTGACAGACAAGATTTATTTGAATGGTGATGCAACGATTCAAATGAAGACTCTGAGCAATATGGAGTGATACACCAACCGCCAGGGATTTTCACCACAGGCGTAGCTACTGATATCCAATCCTTACTCGGTTCACTTTTTACACTGAATGGGGGGATGATCCGGGAGGTGATATGCCGGATTGGAAAACGATGAAGAGAATGTAGCAAGTATGGGAAATGGAAGGAAGATGATTCCAAATCAGGACCGACTCAGATCGATAAGGACTGAGACTGAACACGATGAAAGAAAAGAAAACTGGACCCAGGAAACGAGAGATAGGAACGAGTTCTTATAGAATTTCATAGGGCCGTCGGTTTGGATGGAAGAGGGGGCCCAGAATAGAAAAAAGAAAAATTGGAAAATAAAATCCCTCCTCCGCCAAAAAGATACGATGGTACCTAGCCACTGACGAAAGATACTAAAATAAAATCATAAAAAATGAATTCTCATGGATCTGATTAGTAGAGATACGATCCCCAAGTAAACTACGCCTGAGGATTATTCCCCAAGAAGCAAGTGCAACGAGAGACTACGACATAGATGGCAAACCGAAGGAGAAGCAGCATGATAACTTGCAGATTTAGCTTGACAACTATTTCCCAAATGAAACGGCGATAAATATACTACGAACTAATTCACATCCACTTGGACAAACCAGGTTGCCTCTCCGATCACAGATTTCGACACCGGTGCAGAGTAGTAAGAAGTAGTAGTATGGATATGGCTGTCATTGATAGTACCTCCATCAGGGAAACGCCCCTCTCTACGATAATTTGGATTACGATCTACCGGACGCTCCGCCGCATCGCCTTCCTTTCCTAACGAATCTTCTGCGACGAGGGGGCGACTTATGGTCTAGACAAGACACGAAGTGGACTCCAGTTCCTGAACCACGGGCGCATAACGAGGCTCCTGCGTCGAGGGGGAAAAAAAAAAAAAAAAAAAAAAAAGTGGACATGCAAGATGCAAGGACGGGCTAGTACTTACTTACCAGCGTTGGAGAGGTGGGGGGGGAAATCAAAGGTCCAAGGATAGTCAATCATGCCTCGGGAGAATATGCTAACAATGTCGGCTGCCTGAAGTCATCCCATCCGTCAAATCCCAGGGCAACTTGGGTCGTGTCCACTTTTGACGTCATGACGAGGCGGATGGAAGATAAAAAACGAGAGAGAAAGGGAAGGGACAGGGGGTTTGTTAGGGAAAACGTGGGATGAGAGAAAGAAAAAGGAACGAGAGTGGACGATCTTCACATCTTGGAGTTAATATAAAAATCAAGGTGGTTAAGAGAAGCCGAAAAAAAATTAGCATAAATAATAAATTAAAAATCGAGTTCGAGCCAGAGAAAGGGAGGGTCATTGTTTAGTATGGATGGACTAGAGTCACTAGATCCGCGAAAATCTCTCAGCTTAGAAGAATAATCCACAAATTAATAGGGGAGAGAGGAGAGAGATCAAGAATATTCTCATTACCATGAGGTATTATGAGAAGAGTTCGCTGCATCGTGCAGACCACGCAAGGCGTCCATGGTGATGGGAAACATGCCGATTGAATCCTCGTCCGTAGTCATGATGTGGATGTGTCATGGACTAGTAACCTTAGTTCCCAGTGGCAGATGTGTCTGAAACATCCAATGGAGATCGATCGCGGTCCATAATGACGGTCCATTGCGCCGGTGGTCGGATGGCATTGGTTATATTTTAAGTTATCGTGCCAATGCGGGTGATCCTGTGTTCCTATCTTGACCCAACCTGGTATAGTACTTTCGCTCTCATCCCTTCCTTGTTGGACAGTTCAATCGCATTCAATCGGATCACGATTCATCCCATCGTGGGGGTAAGAGAAGCTGACCTGAAGGGACAACTCAAGTTTTAAGTTAGGCAGGTGGGTAGAGACTCGACCGAACGGAGTACTCTTCTTCCAATCATCGTCGTCGGTTGATAATCGCTCCGGCGGATTATTGGCCCATCTAGTGTGAGTGGGTACTTGGAAGGTACTTGGAAATCCTGAACAAGGTAGGAAGCTCCAGTACCTTACCGTGTACTGACAAGTAACGCCGATGTACAGTACCACATGTACCATGTACACAGCTATCGATCGATGGCCTGAGATCTCAGAGGCAGGGAAGGCATCCAGGCATCCAGGCAACTACTGCTACTATTATAGTACAGACTAGCGTAACTAGTTCAACGTACTTAGAGGAAGCACAGCACGTACTCAGTACGGAGTACTAGTCAGTATAGCCCAGAATTGTCCAGTTGACACGGGTCATTAGTAGAAGAGTCCAGATGACAGTCGCCCGTTCGATCAGGCCACCAACACCACGTGACGTCAGTGACCAAGGATCACCCCTCCTTTTCATAGGTGTTTCTGGAAGGCGGTGGAAGTTCCTCGTGTCGTCATGGAGGGTCTGGAAGGTTAAAAAGGATGCCCAATACCAAGCTATATAGACATCGGCGAGCTCCAACCACCAGCATTTTCGTTCTTTTGTGTATCAGTCATACAGATTAACTATCATAATAGTTAAAATCAACCTTTTCTAATTCTCTTAGTCACCTCAACTATTTCAACTACCTTACAGACCTGTCTACTATTCGAACACACACAACTGATCTACCCGTTTCACCATGAACGGCGCTCAATTCACAGACAGAGCTAACAAGGCCCTGCTGGATTCCAGCAGTTTGGCTGAACAATACTCCCATTCTCAGATTCTCCCCGTTCACCTAGCAGTGGCCCTCTTAAATCCCTCTCCAGATGAATCGAAAGATCAACAAGCTCCCACACACCCCTCACACGATTCCTCCTCGGCCCCTCTCTTCCGCCAAGTCATTGAACGTGCCCATGGCGACCCTCAGCTCCTCGAACGCTCTCTCATGAAGATCCTGGTCCGTTGCCCAAGCCAAGACCCTCCTCCTGAATCCGTTAGTGTCTCTCCAGCACTAGCCAAGGTTATTCGGTCAGCTACCGAGTTGTCCAAGACCCAGAAGGACAGCTTCGTCGCTATCGACCATTTGATTGTGTCCGTCGCCCAGGACTCTCAGGTCCAGAGAGCACTAGCGGATGCCAACATTCCCAACGTCAAGTTACTAGATTCTGCCGTTCAGCAAATTCGTGGTACGAGGAGGGTAGATTCTAAAACAGCCGATTCAGAAAGCGAGAATGAAAACCTCAAGAAGTTCACCATTGATATGACGGCCCTAGCAAGAGAGGGCAAGATTGATCCTGTCATTGGCCGTGAGGAAGAAATTCGTCGAGTGATTCGTATCCTTAGTCGCCGAACGAAGAACAATCCAGTGCTCATCGGTGAGCCTGGTGTCGGAAAAACCACCATTGTGGAGGGGTTGGCTCGCCGAATCGTGAATGCCGATATCCCGGCCAACCTGGCTCAATGTAAATTACTTTCGCTTGATGTCGGTTCATTGGTTGCAGGAAGCAAGTACCGGGGTGAGTTCGAAGAAAGAATGAAAGGAGTCCTCAAGGAGATCGAAGAATCTAAAGAAACGATCGTTCTATTTGTCGACGAAATCCACCTTCTCATGGGTGCAGGCTCCAGCGGTGAGGGTGGCATGGATGCCGCCAATCTCTTGAAGCCGATGTTGGCCCGCGGCCAACTCCACTGTATCGGTGCGACGACACTAGGCGAATATCGGAAATATATTGAGAAGGACCAGGCATTTGAACGACGTTTCCAGCAGGTCTTGGTGAAGGAGCCTTCTGTTAACGAGACTATCTCTATCCTTCGTGGTTTGAAGGAGAAGTACGAAGTGCATCACGGTGTTAATATCCTCGATGGTGCCATTGTTTCCGCAGCCACACTGGCTTCGCGTTACCTGACCGCTCGTCGACTTCCCGACTCCGCAGTTGATCTTATCGACGAAGCTGCCGCCGCTGTTAGAGTGACACGTGAGTCCGAGCCTGAGGCCCTGGATAACTTGGAGAGAAAGCTCCGACAGCTGCAAATCGAAATCCATGCCCTCGAGCGCGAGAAAGACGACGCATCTAGAGCTCGCTTGGAGGCAGCCAAGCAGGAGGCAGCCAATGTCACCGAGGAACTGCGCCCGCTGCGTGAGAAGTATGAAAGCGAGAAGCAGCGCAGCAAGGCCATTCAGGATGCCAAGATCAAGCTCGACTCCCTTAAGGTTAAAAGAGATGAGGCAGAGCGGTCCGGGGATACAGTGACCGCTGCTGACTTGGAGTACTACGCCATTCCGGAAACCAAAGCTCTGATCGAACGACTCGAGGTGGACCGTGCGAAAGCGGATGAAGAACGACGTGCTCGCTCCGGAGACGCTGGGGAGACACTGCTCGCTGACGCTGTCGGCCCCGATCAGATTAACGAGATTGTTGCCCGCTGGACTGGTATTCCTGTCACCAGACTCAAGACCACTGAGAAGGACAAGTTGTTGAACATGGAGAAGCACCTTGCCAAGATAGTCGTCGGCCAGAAGGAGGCTGTGACCTCCGTATCGAATGCAATCCGACTCCAGCGATCTGGCCTCAGCAACCCCAACTCGCCGCCAAGTTTCCTATTCTGTGGTCCATCCGGAACTGGTAAGACCTTGCTTACGAAGGCTCTTGCGGAGTTCCTCTTCGACGACCCCAAGGCTATGATTCGATTTGATATGTCCGAATATCAGGAGCGCCACTCCTTGAGCCGTATGATCGGTGCGCCTCCGGGATACGTCGGACATGATGCTGGTGGCCAGCTGACTGAAAGCCTCCGGCGACGCCCGTTCTCTATTCTTCTCTTCGATGAAGTTGAAAAGGCGGCCAAGGAGGTTCTCACCGTTCTTCTCCAGCTCATGGACGACGGACGCATCACAGACGGTCAAGGCAGAATTGTCGACGCGAAGAACTGCATCGTCGTCATGACCTCCAACCTGGGTGCCGAATTCCTGGCTCGTCCCACCGCTAAGGACGGACGTATTGATCCTCAAACTCGTGAATTGGTCATGGGCGCCCTCCGTGACTACTTCCTTCCCGAATTCCTCAACCGTATCTCCAGCACCGTCATCTTCAATCGCCTCACCAAGAGAGAAATCCGCAAGATCGTCGATCTCCGCCTGGATGAAGTTCAAAAGCGCTTGGAGCAAAACGGCAAGAACGTCACCATCGAATGCACAGAGGAGGTCAAAGACTACCTCGGCAACGCAGGCTATTCGCCCGCTTATGGCGCTCGACCTTTGGGTCGTATCATCGAACGCGAAGTCCTCAACCGTCTTGCTATTCTTATCCTACGTGGAAGCATCGTTGACGGCGAGGTGGCTCGCGTTATCATGCGCGATGGTCGTATCGACGTCCTGCCGAACCATGAGGTCCCGTTTGATGAAGATCAAGACATGCTCGATAGTGAAGATGAAGCCATAGCCGAGATGGAAGACGGCAGTGGTGACATGGATCTCTACGAGTAAATTTACTAAAAGCAAGGGAGTATCAGCACATAATAAAAAGGGGATGTAAGATTCTGAAGACACGGAGTGATGACTGATGACGATGACATGACTTTTGTCCTTCTGGTTTGATTATCAATACTGGAATTTGTTGTTAATATTTCTTACTTCGGACATATTATGCGCACTTTGTACACAACATTGAGATAATGTGCTCTAATAAATAGATTCAGCTGAATTAAGTGGATGTATCGACAGAAGACTTAAATCCAAATCCTTAAATTAATGAGCATCGCAGATATTCTAAATACTCGAGGAAAAGTAAATTTGATTTAAATATACCTATGTACCTTACAAACTCCCACTACTCCCCAACTCTCTCTCCCTAAACCACCTCGCAATCTCTCCCGTTTGACAAAACTCAACCTCATCCCCCCACCCCTTCAACCACGTCAACAAGCGCTCCAGCATCCCAATCACATGCGCCATACCGCTAGTATCTGGGTGCATCAGAATGGGGAAGATGGGCTCGTCCTCATTCTCGCGAATCCACAGGAAGCGATCCCGCCAGAGGTTCTCGACCACGCGGACATCGGTGTAGCCGTGCGAGTTGTGCGTGTGAGGGAGGAATTGCATAGGGGTCATGTCTTCCATGTACCAGTTGCAGGGGATGCATACGAGGGGCCGGCGGTCTTCTGTTGTAGGTGGGATAGGGTGCATCCAGGTCGAGGCGGGAAGGGAGAAATTGATGGGTTGGAGGGGTGGACGTTTAGGGGCGAAGAAAGGGTGGCAGTCGTGGTCTGTTAGGGAAGCATCTGTTTTGGGTTAAGTTAGAAAGGTGGATTGTCGGGGTGGAAAGGGAGGAACTCTCACCATATTCGAATCCGTACTCTTCTAACAGGTCTAATGTTGACTCGCGCAGTTGGTATAGAGGTGCGCGGTATCCGACGGGCTTCTTGCCTGTTAGTTTGGTTGCAATGTCGATACATCGCGTAAGCACGTCCCGTTCTTGCTCGACTGTCAGTTGGTATGCTCCTTCGTGGGCGTAGCCGTGAAGTCCTATCTCACAACCTGACTCGACTACCTGTTGCACCTCCTCTGGGAAGCTCTCCGCGGAGTGGCCCGGGATGAACCAGGTGCAACGGTCGGCTAGGTCGAGGTTTTTGAGCATCCTTAAGAGACGGGGAACTCCGACTTTGGCGGCGAAGAATCCGGAGGAGTAGTCTGCTAGGATGTTGTCGGAGTGCTGACCTGGTTGTGGTCGGGGCTTGGTTAGCATCTGTAGATTATTATGATGATGGGAAAAATGGCTTACCTGTCCCTAGCCATCCAGACACTGCGTCTAGGTCAATGGAGACGGCTATCCGGATTTTATTCTGCTTGGACTTTGATACAGCTCTTGGAATTGATTGGACTATACTCGACTCAGAGTGATCGACTTGGTCCTCTGTCTCTCTGACGGCTTCGCTCTCCTTCCAGATCAAGCGACCTTCCATTCCTCCGTCGACACTTAAGCACTGTCCTGATATGTGCCCTGCCGCACGGTGAGAGGCCAAGAAAGCCATTGTACGGGCTATGTCCTCTGGTCTTGCGATTTTCTTCAGAGGTACCCTACACCATTTAGCGAAGATCTCTAAGCGGTAGCAATCGGGGATTGGACGTGATAAACATACGTAGCTTGGGCCTCAGCCCACATCTCCTTGGGATCATCGAGCCTGCCTTCTATCAAGGGCGTGTCTACCCATCCAGGTGCAACAGCATTGATCCGTGCTCTGCTATTGAGGCGAACTATCTCATTCTTCACGCTTCGGACCAAGCCATACTGCAAGCCAGCCTTCCCAGATGCGTACTCGATATGGCCTTCCTGACCAAGCTTGCCCGTTTCGCTTCCTGTTAGCACGATAGCTAGGTTATCCAATTCTTTACCCGTCGTCTGTTGAGACACTCGTGCAGCTCGCAAGAAATGCTTGATTGTCAGGAATGTTCCTCGAACATTGACTCGATACGTCTGGTCCCAGATCTCCGCGGGCAATTCCCAGATAGGGTAGTCTTTGCTTTCATCTGCGAT